TTTGTGAAACAGAAGGGTTCTTCAGATGTTAAAGGTTCTTTATGGAACCATTTAGACAAAAAGGTTCTTCTATGGCATCGTGAAGCACCTTTATTTTTAAGAGTGTAGAAGTGACTAGAAGAAGAGAAACGGTCGACTGTTGGGATATAGTGGGACTGGCTATTTAAAGGGGAGGAGGCTAATAGGACCAAACAAGGCTATGTCTTTAACTGAAACTAGATGTGTTGTGTTTCTGTCGTACAAACACTAATATCACGAATCAAAATCCTACTGTTAAACTCATACACATTTTGTACCTAGCCTAAACTGCTGCCATAGTTTTGAGAAGCTGGTAACACGTTATCCAACCCATAATGAAGGGATTCAGCCTGCGACTAAGATGCAGCAAAAACGTGACAAAATAATAAAGTCACCATTGGTGATAAGATAGATATTTATGTGCGTCCATATGTGGTTCTGTGGAATTAGTTAATAGAATGCTGACATTTTTGTAGGACAAAACCTGGAAACGAGTTAGCATTTTAGCACTTCTAGTTCCATCATCCTGAAGTCAGTTGGTTTTTGGTTAAATGCTTGAAATAAGCATTCTGTGGTTAATACAAGCGTAAGATATTTTCACATTTATCTATATGGGACTACAGAGGTTGTTGGGGATATTAAATGTCATGCAGAACATGCAAATTAATCTACTCACTAGTCCGCTTTCACAGCCTTGTTGAGTGCATAATTGGGCGCTTGAAAACTAGGGAATGTGTGTGTGTGTGTGTGTGTGTGGTTAATACAAGCGTAAGATATTTTCACATTTATCTATATGGGACTACAGAGGTTGTTGGGGATATTAAATGTCATGCAGAACATGCAAATTAATCTACTCACTAGTCCGCTTTCACAGCCTTGTTGAGTGCATAATTGGGCGCTTGAAAACTAGGGAATGTGTGTGTGTGTGTGTGTTTTAAGTTACCGCTTGGTGGTGTAGTTTGATTATGGCCTACATTTAGCTTTTAACTTCTGCCGACTGTTTTTAGGCTTCAAAATAGATAAAAGTTTTTCATTTGTGAATGATGAACAAGACATGTAAGAATCATGACCTTTTGTCAGTCACAGAGCTTATTTTCTGCTATAATCCAAAAGCCAAAGGAAAAAAATTTGTTGGGTTTTTTGTTGAGGGATGCAAACTTCCAGGTTGGCCTACAAAAATATTTCACCACTGAAGATATGGGAAACCAGACACAGAGTTGTGATAATGCTGGCAAGATCATTAGGTATAGTGTGTCATGAAGCATTAAACTCAAGTCCCATGGGATTTGAAAGTGTGTGTGTGCGCGCACAAGTGGTGGAAAGCCCCTTACCAAGCACAACTGAATGGACAGGCTATAACTGCAGCAAATTTTCAGCTGTCCCGAGGCCTACACTCTTAAAAATAAAGGTGCTTCAAAAGGTTCTTCAAGCGATGCCATAGAATAACCATTTTTATTCCACAAAGAACCATTCAGTCAAAGGTTCCTTAAAGAACCATTTCTTTCTTGCGTTTTTGTAATCTGAAGAACCTTCTTTCGCCACAAATAACCTTTTGTGAAACAGAAGGGTTCTTCAGATGTTAAAGGTTCTTTATGGAACCATTTAGACAAAAAGGTTCTTCTATGGCATCGTGAAGCACCTTTATTTTTAAGAGTGTAGAAGTGACTAGAAGAAGAGAAACGGGCGACTGTTGGGATATAGTGGGACTGGCTATTTAAAGGGGAGGAGGCTAATAGGACCAAACAAGGCTATGTCTTTAACTGAAACTAGATGTGTTGTGTTTCTGTCGTACAAACACTAATATCACGAATCAAAATCCTACTGTTAAACTCATACACATTTTGTACCTAGCCTAAACTGCTGCCATAGTTTTGAGAAGCTGGTAACACGTTATCCAACCCATAATGAAGGGATTCAGCCTGCGACTAAGATGCAGCAAAAACGTGACAAAATAATAAAGTCACCATTGGTGATAAGATAGATATTTATGTGCGTCCATATGTGGTTCTGTGGAATTAGTTAATAGAATGCTGACATTTTTGTAGGACAAAACCTGGAAACGAGTTAGCATTTTAGCACTTCTAGTTCCATCATCCTGAAGTCAGTTGGTTTTTGGTTAAATGCTTGAAATAAGCATTCTGTGGTTAATACAAGCGTAAGATATTTTCACATTTATCTATATGGGACTACAGAGGTTGTTGGGGATATTAAATGTCATGCAGAACATGCAAATTAATCTACTCACTAGTCCGCTTTCACAGCCTTGTTGAGTGCATAATTGGGCGCTTGAAAACTAGGGAATGTGTGTGTGTGTGTGTGTGTGTTTTAAGTTACCGCTTGGTGGTGTAGTTTGATTATGGCCTACATTTAGCTTTTAACTTCTGCCAACTGTTTTTAGGCTTCAAAATAGATAAAAGTTTTTCATTTGTGAATGATGAACAAGACATGTAAGAATCATGACCTTTTGTCAGTCACAGAGCTTATTTTCTGCTATAATCCAAAAGCCAAAGGAAAAAAATTTGTTGGGTTTTTTGTTGAGGGATGCAAACTTCCAGGTTGGCCTACAAAAATATTTCACCACTACAGGACTCTATTATATCTTTAAAGTGCACAAGTGCTTCCTGTGTGCAACCACAAGCAGCACAGTTAATGAATTGTGATATATATATATATTTATCCCAAAATATATATTTTTTTCAGCATGCTAGGATATGCATAGTGCGCATGCAGCGAATTTCATCGCAATATTGCAGAGCACAACTGTGATCCCTGAATCGTGGACAATTACTCTTAAGCCCACTGGAAACCATTACTAACCGCAACGACATAATCATGTTGTAATAAATGGTATTCTAAAAATATAATTGTTCATTCCTCAGCATAGTGAGGTCAAATTGAAACTTGTTTGGGAGTAAAACTGTAAGGTGGGTGAACCATAATCAACACAATACTTGATACCTTTTTTTTCTTTCTTTTTCAAACAGGTAGAAATATTCCTACAAAACAAAGAGACATTTATGAATATTACTCAAAATGTAATTTGGCTCCTAAATGGATCCCTAGTAAAAAAAAAAAAATTCCACCCCCAATGTGTTACATCTGGGAAACTGGTCATAAGTGCAGGCCCTTATTCGGGTTATATAAGATCACGTCAGACATGCAAAAGAGCACCACAGTCCCCTGAGTCAATAAACCCTTGATGAGCTCAGACGCACGACCCCAGCTCGCTGCCACGGGGGTAGGAGGGAAAAGTCCAGCAGGAGTTTCATGCTCTCTGCTTCAGTCAAGTCACCACTCTCGAAATGACGTCGCCCAAGCACAAGTACACACTTCGGATGAGTTTTACAAAGAACAGTGTCATTTTTCTACCTGCAGGACTCATCCGTTGTGAAGCCACTGAGAAGCTTGCTGTGAAGATCGTAACTGGAGATGCAGAAAGCTGAAGTGATGTATGTGTGGGCCCGCTGTAGTTTTGTTCTTTTACGAAACCTTTTTCCTTGGAGAAGTGAAAGGTAGGCTGGAAGGGATTCCCCGCATTGACAGTTCATACACACCTACAACAATGTGAGGCCCACACATCTACTGCAGAAAAGCACACACACACACCACAATCAACCTTCAGGAAGTGGAAATAATTAGGTCACATGAACACATGACTTTTACAGTAAAACTATTCACAGAAAGACAAAATGTCACTTTCACAATTAGCCCCACAACTTATATTCATTAAAAAAAAAAAAAATCCAAGTAGCCTATTATGGTGAAGCTTGTACCTATTATTATCCTTAACTTTACCCGCTATGTTGTTCCAAGAGGGAAAACTTTGGGAATTTCTGAGCATTGGCTAACTTTATGGCTTATTTGGAATAGCAGCACCTTATTTAACATAGAATGTTGTTGTTACCGACTGTGCTATTATCGTGGCCTGTTGTGTTATTTTTATGATAAGAGCGATCAGCGCTTAGACAGAACTCTATTGTCAATTCCAGTATGTGGAACGATGGGGGTTTTCCCTCTTGAGCTGTCTGTGTTTCTCCCCAGCTCTGGGCCATCCTCAATGAAAAGATCTTCACGAGTGATTTACAAACTACACTATCTAATCTCCGATCTTTGATTTCTCTCTAATAAGCCCAGCTCTCGGCTCTCTTTATGACCCTGTTATTGTCCAAGACTGACTGTAGACGTCTAGGCTCCGCACGTATTCCTTTCAAAAGAGCATCATAAAGTACAGTTGAAAATCGGGACGCATATGCCAAGTCAATTTATCTTGCACTCTACTGATAATATCCAAATGTCATATGGAAGACACTTTTTTTTGCTGATTTTCAGTATGGGAGACAAGATAAGGTATGTATTGATACATCATCTTGTGTAGTTGCACTTCTCATTCAGTCAAAACAACTACTTTAAACTTCATATTGAAAGTACAGAGTGAATTTGGCCTCAACCAGAAATAGATTTCACATAAATGAGGTAACTCCAGCATTGCATCATGGGTGACTAAAACTGGGCAGACTTACAAAAGCACTACTAGGAGATTCACAAAATCTCCCATTGTTCATTCTCTGATTTTCCAGGCAAACACGTGGTCATATTTAAATCATAAATAAATATATTTAATTATTAACTGATTTTTTTTTTAACTTAGTTTACTATAACAATTTAGATTACTGTATTAAAACGTACAGTTTTTCTTACACTACTGGCTCCAAAATGCTTTTGTTTTTAAAGAAGCCTTATTTTTTCATTCTCATTTATTTGATCAAAAAAATACAATTAAAACAGTAATACTGTAAAATATAATTGCGGTTTAAAAGAACGGTTTTCTACTTTAATATATTTTAAAATTCTATGTAGTCCTGTGATGGCAAAGCTGTATTTTCATCATCATTACTCCAGTCTATGTCAAAAACATGTTGATTTGCTGCTCAAGAAACATTTCTGAGTATTATCACTGGTGAACACAGCTGTGTTGCTGGTTCTTTGCGGAACCCATAGCAACAAGGACAAGGCAAGGCGGCATGGATAATGTAGACCAGAGGAGCAGTTGAAACATAGCAGCACTGGGGTCAGCAGTCAGTCTGTAGAAACATGGGAGAGAGAGAAGAAACCGGAGGAACGCTTATCGATTCCTGCCATTGTCTCTTGAAAGGAAGACCCATTTAGTGGGCAGCAAACGTGGCCTTCTTCAAGCTAAAATTGGACCAGTTGATGGACAACCTCTGCCTTGTCTGTCGCGCTGAGTCCAAGCAGAACCTGCAAAAAAGGTGAAACATGAATTCATTGGGGAACAAAAGGTCATGAATGCCAGATTAAAACATTACAGTATAATACCAAACAGTACCTTTTGAAATATTCCACCTCGCGTTCGGTCTCGTCCATGTCTACGCTGTCCAAATCAATGTCTTTGGGCAGAAAAACATCATCTGTTGGACAATAAGAGAGTTTTGACTTGATTTTCCATTCAAAAATGGACAAATGTTTTCCTTTTATCCTTTATCTTCAGACAGTCTGGCACTTCACAACACTCACCTATTGAGTTACTCGTCTTGTCGGCTTTTTTCTTCTTATTCTTCTTGGCTTTGCTTTTGGGCTGAGGGGACTCATTGTTTGGGACTTTGCCGTTCTGCTGAGGAGGTTCTACAGCAGAAGATTCAATAACAGGAGAGTTCCTCTCGTCTTTCCCTCCATTCTGTGTCTTTTTCCCATTAGTCCTTTCGTCCCTCTTGATCTCGGTCACTGACTCGTCTGAAGCTTTCTGCTTGGCTTTGGTGTCAGTTTGAGGGCTGGCTGCATTCCCGGCTTTGGGAAGCTCTGAAGCTTTGGAAGTCTCAGCTGGCCTCTTTGTGGCCTCACTGTTGGGTTTGGAGCCATTTGCTTGCTGTTTGGGTTTGACCTTGGTATGGGAGGACTCTGGGTGGGAGGAGGTGCCATTCAGGAGGGCAGGAGACTCTGAAGGTCTCTCTTTGCAAGTCTTTAGGCTTGGCTGTTGCAATGGGCTGTTCTTCCCACCCGTGGGGGATTCAGGTTCTATACGAGGCTCCTTAGGACTGAGACGGATGAGATTGTGCAGTAGCTGTGTTTTGCCGTTATGCATGTTCTTTTCTAAAACGCTCTGTGCTGTCTGTTGAAGAGGCTGAGGGCTGTTGGTTGCTGGAACGAGAGAAGGATTTTCAGACTTGGTTACCTCCTTGACTTTATTGTCTTTCTTTTTCTTCTTAGATGCCCGCAACTGCTGCATTTCCTGCAAACGGAGCAGCTCCTGCTTCAGTGCTTCCTCCTCCTCCTGTTGCCGCCTTCTCTGTTCCTTTAGAAACTGCTGTTGTACCTCCAGTTCCCGAGCCTCCACCTCTAGACGGGCTTTCTCCTCCAGCTGCACCCAAACAAACCCCCAGACAGTTAATTCCATGACACCCAAAAACATAGTTTGATCCCATGACCAGTGTTTTTTTTTTTTAAATAACAAATATCATGCATTACTCATTCATAAATATCATTAAGCATTTTGGGTCAACATCACATTTTACAACCTGAACTAATCTTACTTTGTCATATAAAGGTCAAATTATTTGACATTTCATGAGGAGTGTAATGTCAAAAACGGTTTGAAAGTTTTTTCAAATACAAATAAGCATTGTTGAAGTTTTGTTAAAAAAGTCCTGTCAATCAATTCTGAAATTAATCGCGATTAATCCCACCTAACATTTATGTTTTTATATTGAAAAATAAATCCACAAATTAATGTAGAAATAACAAAGACAGTATATGTTTTATATTTGTTTACTGGCATCTTTTTTAAGTATCACTGATACCAAAACTACCGATGTCTCTATGAAATAGTTTTTTTCCCCCTAATATTTAACCGTTGACTATAGCCATTCAACATTACGGTAGCTGTAACTGCTATCAATTTTAACATTTATTAGACTTTAAAAAATAACCTCTAGTGACCTTAAAACAATCTTCACATAAACCCATTATAATAAATGTCATATTTACCTGTGCCCTTCAGCAAGAAGGAAATCTACAGAAACTGAATAAAGTTATCAAACACTAAATTCTAAATTAAATATAGATGAATTCTGAAGCTACACAAGTTATTGATTTCCTCTTTTGTTCTTTGATTAACAGACATCGCGGTAGCTGCGTTACTAGTTTATTTTGGCTACTTTAAGAGCTGCCGCTGCTGAACATGACACAGATCTGACACGCATAGTATTTTCTCACTACTATCTACCTTTTCTGCACTTCAGGTCTTAAAGTCTCTATTAATGAGCTGACGAGCTGAATCGGGTGTGTTAGATGAGGGAGACAGTGCCGGGCTTCTCCAAGACAATTTTGAAAACCACTGCATTTCAGAGACATGTTCTTAAATGTGACATATATAACAAATACATGCATGCAAAGTTGAGGCAGCTTTAATCGCCTTTTTTGGTTCATGACTTAACTGATGACATAACTACAACTTTGCCTGCTCGTGGTTTCATTTGCGCTTTAATATGATATAGCGCTTTAAAGTATTTGTGTGTGCATTTGAAGAGCACGTGCTAAAGCACAGTATAAAGATTTTTTTTTTACTGACAACATCATCTGACGTAGTTCACTGTTGTTCTACTGAAGCTCCCTCGTCACCTGTACATTTTCCTCGCTCATTTGACTAGGACCTGTCGCCAAGGTAAAGTTGGAGTGCACATTTGAATGTCTCCTGTTTGATGTGGTCGTTAAGACGTTCTACGTCTAAATAAATGCAATTCTTGTCAAGAAAAAAAGACAGAAGCAGCAGTTGTAATTGGAATGGCCAACCCTAGCTCCACCCCTGCGTTAATTGTGTTAAATATTTTAAATGCTGTTAAACTGAACAAATTAATTGCATGTGTTAACGTATATTATATATTAGGGGTGGAACGATACATGTATTCGTACCGAACCGTCACAGTACGGACATCTTGGTTCGGTGCATGAGGCCTTACAATGAATACAGGCAATTCACCCCCAATCCAGAAGGGGGCGCCTGCAGCAATGCACCTCTGTTTGATAACCGGCCGACAGCAGAAGTACAGCGAATGCCGCATGTTGCGCACTTGAAAACAAAGCACACTAGACAGTGACCATGTGCTGACTCTGATTGCGTCTCTCACAGACTGGCAAAGGAGTATACTTAAAAAGCTTGTGCACTCAACTGTTTGCGAAACGGTGCTTTGTGTTCGTGTATCCTACCCCTCTCATTCGGCACAAATCCAAATATTCCATAATATTTCAATATTTGCGATGTAACGAATGCTAAACTATTATTTATTATGTTAATTATAGGTTTTGTACTTCAGTTCCAACGGTGACACAGAGGCGGGTGCGCTGATGTTTGGTTCACCGCATTTTATTTTTATAAAGTACCAACTGTGCTGTCAAGTTAGCAATGCTGGAACTGATGTGTTTTGTGTGTGTGTGTGTGTGTGTGTGTGTGTGTATGCCGGCGTGATCACTTCAACTGTTTCCTTATACCAGCAGAATTGCTGTCAAGTTAACAATGGTGGAACTGATGTGTTTTGTGTGTGTGTGTGTGTGTGTGTGTGTGTGTATGCCGGCGTGATCACTTCAACTGTTTCCTTATACCAGCAGAATCAACTTTAAACACTTAATGTCTTATTAATAATGCATCACTGTATAAAGATCTGCTTTTATTTGTGTACACTCACAATGAAAACAAAACATTGTGCTTTTGTAAAATAATGAAAACAAATAGGATGTCGCTTTCTGCAATTTGAGTTTCCTTTCTGTGAACAAATTTAGCATGTCACCAAAATGAACTGAAACTCCGCATATATAGGCTACGTTACGTGTCGCACTGTTTTTTTCCCTTGTTTATCTAAACTAAATCAAATATATTTAAAGAATTTATTCCTTGTATGTATATATGTACTGCCGATTATATATATTTAACAATGTAATAATATTTAGTATTTTTACATCTAGGTGGAACATTTTTTAATTTATACTACTGTCTGTTCAAAATAAATGAAGAAACCGAGCATAGTAGGTTTGTTTATTTTTTCCAGTTGTACCGAAACGTATCGAACCGTGACCCCCGAACCGAGGTACGTACCGAACCGTGACATCTGTGTACCGTTCCACCCCATATATATATATATATATATATATATATATATAATGTTATTACAATATAAAATGGTTTCTATTTTAATATTCTTTAAAATATAATTTATTCCTGTGATGCAGCACTGAACTTCCATCAGCCATTACTCCAGTATAAAGTGTTACATGACCCTTCAGAAATCATTCTAATATGCTGATTTATTATTAGAATTATCAATGATCAGCATATTAGAATGATTTCTGAAGGATCATGTGACACTGAAGACTGGAGTAATGATGCTGAAAATTCAGCTTTGCATCACAGGAATACATTAGATTTTTATGTATATTAAAATAGGAAATCGTTATTTTACATCGTAATAATATTTCACAATATAAATTTTTTTTCTGTATTTTTGATCAAATAAACGCAGCCTTGATGAGCATAAGAAACTTCTTTAAGAAGATTAATAATCTTTCTTTATGATGAATATATTTAGAATTATCAATGATCAGCATATTAGAATGATTTCTGAAGGATCATGTGACACTGAAGACTGGAGTAATGATGCTGAAAATTCAGCTTTGCATCACAGGAATACATTAGATTTTTATGTATATTAAAATAGGAAATCGTTATTTTACATCGTAATAATATTTCACAATATAAATTTTTTTTCTGTATTTTTGATCAAATAAACGCAGCCTTGATGAGCATAAGAAACTTCTTTAAGAAGATTAATAATCTTTCTTTATGATGAATATATTTAGACAAGAGTGTAATTCCTGATTACAAAATGAGTTTACCTTCTTTTGTTTGTGACGGGCACGTTTGGCTGCTTTGGAGCTGCTGGCTGGTTTGCTCTCCGCGCTGTTGATGAACTGTAACAGGTCCTCTACCTTGCGATGGTCCTTCACCCCGTCCTGCTCGAGCAGCAATTCTTCTTTCTTAGGCTGTTCCTCTTTCCGCTTAGTCAGCCTGAGTCGCAACTTCTCCCGCATCTCTGCATAGTTCCTACTGGTGGGTGCGGCAGGGGGCTACGCACCGCAAACAACATAGGCCTGATTAGCTTATTTATTCATCACACCTTTAACGATAAACAGGTAACATGAACTGCTTCCACAAATATTCCTTTAATGGTATGATATACATAAGCAGTGGAGCATGCAAAACTGATATGGTGCAGGAAATAAGTGCATGCACTGATCCATCACTAACACTGTGTGAACACCACACAATGATTGGAAGCTCTGATACCTCAAAGTGTCTGACTATAATTGAAATAGACCTGGATGGTATGATGTATGCAGTGAGTTAGGGCAGAAAAGGGTCTACTATACCGTGGTAGATGTATGCATTTACATGGATTACATCTGTGGCCAGGACCGCTTTGTGTTAATGTTAAAGTGACAAGTTGTATCTTGCATTCTGTACCAATTATTGCAAATACCATTAAGCCAATTATCAGTAGATGATATGGTTGATAACTGATGAATGGCTTATTAATAATCTTTATTTTCTCTAAATAAATATGAAATAAATAAAACACTAAACTAAAATCAGTTGTTTTAAATGCTACAGGTGAATTTAGGCATCATAAGCTTATAATGTACTGTATGAAAAGTGGATATTCATTTTGAGATTTGCTAAATATTATATTGTGAGTGTCAGATGACGGCAAAGCTAATTTAAATGTAAAAACGGGAAATGAACGTGCACAATTTAATATCCAAAAATGAATGATATATATCCAATATCAACAGATAAACAGTAAAAAAAAAAAAAAACTAAAACTAAACACTAATATCAGCTGACAAACAAAAAATTATTAATATATGCCAGACAATATAATCAAATGAGATGTACCTTTTATTTAATTTCAAGTGTTTAATTATTTTATTTCAAATATTTTATTATTCAAAAATAGCCATTACCTCTTATCGTATTTGTTTAATAAACAAACCAGTCTTGCTATCTATCATATTGTGATAAATTCCTTTAATGTGAATCATATTATATTCAATAATCTATACTGTGTGATGTAATACTTTGGTCATACTGCCCAATCCTAATTAGGAAGACTTTTAATTGAACAGTTTGGTGACAGCCAAATGAGTGCATTTCCATACCCCTCCGTGACCGAAGAATTCACAGTAGCAGCAGTCACAGTACTCTAAAACTAAACACTAATATCAGCTGACAAACAAAAAATTATTAATATATGCCAGACAATATAATCAAATGAGATGTACCTTTTATTTAATTTCAAGTGTTTAATTATTTTATTTCAAATATTTTATTATTCAAAAATAGCCATTACCTCTTATCGTATTTGTTTAATAAACAAACCAGTCTTGCTATCTATCATATTGTGATAAATTCCTTTAATGTGAATCATATTATATTCAATAATCTATACTGTGTGATGTAATACTTTGGTCATACTGCCCAATCCTAATTAGGAAGACTTTTAATTGAACAGTTTGGTGACAGCCAAATGAGTGCATTTCCATACCCCTCCGTGACCGAAGAATTCACAGTAGCAGCAGTCACAGTACTTTCCTTCCTTCTGATTGGTGGAGGTGGAGGTAGAGGAGCTGTGCTCTGAGCTGCTGTCCTCATCTTGGCTCTCCTCTCCTTCATATGGCTGGTGTTCGTAGCCTCCGTTCCCTTCACAGCGATGACCCTCACAGTCTGGATCGCTGACAAAAACATCCGAACTGTGAGTATATGGATCATATTCTGGTGTCTTTCTTAAAAACATAAAGCTTGACATGGTATTGAATACAACAGCTTGTCTATGCGTTTTGGATGCTGGCACAGAAAGAACATGACAGAAAACGTATAAATGATACACATGGGGGACTGACCTGCACACGCTATTTGGACCACTGACTAAACCATCGACCGGGACGGTTGGCTGCTCACCAGCTGACAAGCACAGACCCTGATGGACATCCATGTAGCCTGGAGTCTGAGTTACAGTCTTTGGGAAGGACTGGGTGCCTATACTGGGTAGGTGGGTGTTGGGGGAAGAGGGATGTGAGGTTCCGCTGAAAGGGGGGAGAGACGCGAGACTAGTGGGACTATTCCTAGGAGCAACAGGAGTGGGATGTCTATGGTCCTCTTTACCTAAATTATGGAAAACTTCATCTAAAAAAAGGGAGAGGAGGAAAAGGAGGAAAATAAGCACAGGAAAGCAAAAATTCTATCTAAATACTCATGATGGGCCATTTAGAAATGTGGAAGTGATTATTACTCGACTGGACAGTGGTGGCGGTACTGGAGACAGAGGTGGCGGCAGAGGAAGTGGCCATCACCACTTCACTCGCCTCCATGAAGGCATCTTGGTAGTTGAAGAGACACTTTTTCTTGGCGCCGTTCTTCTTCTCTTTGCCATCTGGAGCAGGGTGGGGATTGACATTGGGGTCCAAACTGGAGGAGAGAAGGTGCACGTCGGGAAGGGGAGGGCCCAGCATGTCACCTTTGATAAGGAGAAGAGTTTTAGGGTCAGAGAGATACTGAAAACGATAGAAGTCACCAGACACATTATTTTTGGTCTTTTAATGACCATTTAAATGCACATAAAACAAGTATATAAAATATGTATAGAGCCAAACAGAACAAGTAGTTGTTACTACAGTGACAACACCCACTTTTTGACACAGATGGCTCGTCTGAGGTGTGGTGCTAAAAAAAATTGCATTTGGACTCATTCATAAATTTTGATCTCTTTCCAACAGTTTCTCACCACCAGCCCTGCGGTCTCGGGGAAACCCATCAATTATGGTCCAGCAAGAGCACACCGTTAAAACTTAAGGAGTATAAACATAACACGGCCTCTGTGGACTGCTTTTTGCTAATGATGGCTAAGTGACTAAATGACTTTGATAGTTAATATTACTCAAAAACAGCTCAGCCAAACAGCTTAAATTGTGTGTAGTTTTTAGTTTATGGCTTAAGTAAAACTTTTATTATGTTATCACTGTGTCAATTCTTGTGAGTGAATCCTGTATCCCATATATATTTGGGGGATAAAAAAATAAAACAATTTCAGAGATTCACTCAGGCATTTTAAGGCTGTTGTCACTCCCAAATCTCTTCAGTGTGTATGTGGCCATTCTGATATGAATTTTGAATGGATTGAGAGTACGGACTCTGATTTTGTGACTACATGAAATACAAAAAATAATGTTTTAAGCTTATTTCTCAGATATTTTAGTCAAGTATCTGAAGTATCTAAACACAGATCCTGGTCCTGTATGCACATTGTGCTGTTCCAAATTATAACAGGTTCTTCCATAGATGCTTTTTTTTTTTTTAAGTCAGCATGAAACTAAAATTCCAAGCATCTGTTTCAGTTCTATTGTGTTGTACATCCAACTGAAACAGCTTCCTGAATGAGAAAAAAAATGTAGGATGAGATGTGATTTTGTCCATCAGAAATTAATTAGATTGTTGTTGCTTGCTAATTGCTGTTATCTCATGTGAGTGACAGGTGAAGGGAGGGAGGAATTACTGGCTAGTCTTCAAAGAAGAGATGTTGTTGGAGGGGGATGGGAAGTTAATGTTTTTGATTAAGGATTACAAGGGCAAATAAAAAATATATAAAAATATTGTGCACGGATAAATTATTTATGATAAAACACTGAATTATTACATAAAAAGGTAATAATTGTCACTTTTGATTTCATGGTGACTTCTGAATGTAGTCTGACTGATCAGATACCCAGAAATATTAATACCAGATCTAAATGGTATTAATGGTGGTTAATGTTTTAAGCACCTGAATAACTCCTAAAGGTTACAACTCTCCACATTAAAAATTCAACTTTGAAGTGTGCAAAACATCTTTAAAATGACTTGGGCAACTGACCAGGTAGGGGTTCCTGTAGCAGCACAGAAGGGTTCCAGTTTTTCATCATGTGCGTGTCCCAGAGGTTCTCTAGTTTAAGCGAGGGACATGGCAAAGAGCCGTTCCAGTCCCCTGCTGTGTTGAAGCAGCTCTGGTAGACATGCTCTGGTAGGGTGGGGTTGAACACTTGCTGCTTTCCGCCTGTTTGACTGGATGTGGGGCTGGGAGGGAGAGTCTAGAGAAGATGATGTGAAGAGAGTTGGGATCATTATATGAAAAATCCATCAAGAAATTTTAACAACATTTTTACAATAAGGCTACTGAAAATGTAATGGGAAATTTATGATGACATCGCGTCACTGCTTGATAAGCAATAGTCAATGATGTGGAAAGGGACATACCCAGTAAGAAGTAAAATTTTGCACCTGTGCTTTTTTTTTTAAAGATTATGATTTCTGATACAAGTCACCCCCCTTGTGGCTGGAAAAATAACAGCAAATTCACCAAGCACCTATAACCCACACAACTCTCAAAGGGAAGGCTGGGAATTGCCTGTGCATTTCTGTGCATGTGCGTGCATCTAACCTTGCTGTGTGTGAGCGGAGGGGTGGAGTAGAGGGTGGGCAGCAGTGGTCTGGGCAGGTGGGAGAGGTTGTGTAAGGGTAGATGGCCGTGGATGTGGGGGTAGAGGTGGAGGGCAGGGTGGGCTGCCGTCTTCTCTGAGAAGAAATGGTGACCCCCCGCATGCAGCCTGGTGGTAGGCAGACAGGTGGAGTTCAGGCCGGAGGCGCTACCGCCCCCGTTGCCCTGATTGCACACATGACATTCGCACTGATGTTGTACCTGATCCACCTAAAAAGGAAATGAAGATTTATCATTTTGTCAGAGGCCATATTTGCTTCTCAAGGTCAGCACATGCATGGGCTAAACTTACGCATGTGTAACAGCTCAAGCGGATTAAGTGTTATAGTTTCCAAAGGCTTAATAGTGTTTTAAAACAATTTTGTACCCTACCATAAAAACAAGCTACTTAAAGGGTTAGTTCACCCAAAAATGAAAATTAGCCCATAAATTACTCACCCTCAAGTCATCCTAGGTGTATATGACTTTCTTCTTTCAGACGAATCCAGTCGGAGTTATATAAAAAATTGTCTTTGATCTATCAAGCTGTTTCATGGCACTCAGCGGGTGTTGCATGCATCAGTCCAAAAGCACTTAAATAAAATGCGCCCATGCATAAAAAAAAAAAAAAGTGTCTCACACGGCTCCGGGGGGTGAACAAAGGCCTTCTGTAGCGAATCGATGTGCTTTTGTAAGAAAAATATCCATATTCAAAACGTAATAATCACTTTAATGTAGCTTGCGCTCACTGTTGTACACTGGAAGCAGTTCCGGGCGAATGACGTATGGAGGTCGGCTTTACGCATGCGCCGCTCAGAAGTGACGCACGCGGAAGCGCAGGGGAGAGATCAAAACAAAACAACGGTCACTAATTAGAAGTACAAAACGAGGATTTGTAAAGAAGAATGTCGGAGAATTTCGATATAAGCCAAGAGGAGACTGGTTTTCCTTTGCTAAAGTAAGGAAACTTTGCTTCCTTTGCTCCTGTTAACAAACGTTAGTTTTCACGAGATTCACCGGCGCATGTGCAGCACTGACCTCATACGTCATCCGCCCTGAACTGCTTCCAGTGTACAACAGTGAGCGCAAGCTAGATTAAAGTGATTATTACGTTTTGAATATGGATATTTTTCTTACAAAAATGCTTCGATTCGCTACAGGAGGCCTTTGTTCACCCCCCGAGCCGTGTAAGGGACTTTTTTTTATGGATGGGCGCACTTTATTTAACTGCTTTTGGACTGATGCATGCAACACCCGCTGAGTGCCATGAAACAGCTTGAAAGATAATCCTTTAAGAACAGCAATGCTGAATAACTAAATAATTATGATATAGCTGTACAGTATTCCAAAAAAATTCAAAATAATTTGATGTGTATATATATATATACAGTGGGTACGGAAAGTATTCAGACCCCCTTAAATTTTTCACTCTTTGTTATATTGCAGCCATTTGCTAAAATCATTTAAGTTAATTTTTTTTCCTCATTAATGTACACACAGCACACCATATTGACAGAAAAACACAGAATTGTTGACATTTTTGCAGATTTATTAAAAAAGAAAAACTGAAATAACACATGGTCCTAAGTATTCAGACCCTTTGCTCAGTATTTAGTAGAAGCACCCTTTTGATCGAATACAGCCATGAGTCTTTTTGGGAAAGAGGCAACAAGTTTTTCACACCTGGATTTGAAACACCTCATACCAGCCATTGGCAGAACATACATTTGAAAACTTATTACATTAAACATTTTAATGTATTTAATATTTTGAATGTACAACTTATCTTTGCAACCCATAAAAAAAAAACATTCTATATTTTTTTCCTTGCAACCCCTTTGGGGTTTTGGTTTGTAAAACCCTGTACCCTTAAGTCATCTATTTGTTTTGTTAGATCATGCTATTATTGTGTTAGTAGATAATATATACTGTAACGGTTGTTTAATATATATATATATATATATATATATATATATATATCACTTTTTGAATTTTAGTCAGTGTGTATGTTTGGGTATAAAAAAGATCTTCAAACTTACAAATCTCAAAGTCCACTCCAAAGGGATATTTAGTTTTTTTTTTAAATCCCTTTTCAAGAACCCATTAGAATATCATTAAAATAATTCCCACCTACAGAAATTTGAATGGTTGGGGGGTGGGGAGGGGCGAGGTCGTGGTTAGAACGCCTGGTTGAGTGGATCAGAAAATACGACGTCGACAAAGAAATGCTGCTGTAGCCTCAAGTTTTCGCAAGTTATTACACATGCACCTGAATAATTATGTATGTAAATATGTATGTTACAATTATGAAAACGTTTTTATAATAAACAGGGTTCCCACTCTTTCATGAACACCAGATTCAAGGACTTTCAAGGACTTTTTAAAGCACCATTTATTTTATATCAAGCACCTATCAAATTCACACCCCAGAATATGTAGTGTCATGAAAGACCTTACAGTACTTAACATTTCACTTACACTTAACATTTACATTAAACATTTCAGAGTAATAATGTTTTGAATGTGTAGGTTTCATAAATTTAGATCGTTTTGAGCAGTTGTGTTCAAAGGAATTTAATGAAATCCATTGAAATCAGTACTGGTGATAAATAAAATTCAATTTCTAAAATATTGATAAAATATGCATCAAACTGATTTTTGCTGTAGTTCTTGTACAATATTTAAATTGGAAAATTTCAAAATTTTTAAATTAATAAAAAGTGGTTAAATGTTGTAATAACACGGTAAAACCTGTTAACAAAAAATTTGCACATTCACTCAAAAGATACATTACACATTAATAAATAAACTCAAGTCAAAATAATTTTGTAAATTACTTCTTATTGTAAATCCCATTTTTTCACCTAGGAATGCAGCTCAAACATGCAGCTGCTCAAAACGTCAGTATTTTTAAAAAATATTTCATGAGCATTTTAAACCTTGTACATGTGCAAATCTGCAAAAAAAAATATAAAGAAAATAAATAAAAAAAATAGGACTTTCTATTTGCTTTTAAACTGTAAACGCTTTTCACTAAGCTGTTTTCCCAATTTTTCAAGTTCTACATTTTCTCCTTAGCTCCATGTTGCAGTAAGTTTTGGGAGTTCATTTTTAATCCATCTCCTATCCTGAAAAGTCTGTCTTGCAGAGACTGACAAAAATGAGCTCCTAAAACTTACTGCCAGATTCTGGAAGATAAATTCTTCAAACAGTGGTACAAGAGGATGCGGTGCTGCTCCTTCAAGAGTCACTCTCAACTTATCGGTCCATAAAGCCTACAAAAATAGTCTTCATGTATTTCACAACACTACAGAATGTTATTCTTATTAAGTAGGGGTAATTTTTTAGGATTTTTTACCCAAGCAAAGTCTCTGAGAACCTGTCACCTTGTAATTCTGGAGACTCAAGGTTGCAGTTCTGGAAAATAGTGGCACTGGAGACTAAAAGGTTCCTGATGGTTTCACACTTAATTCTGCACATGAATTATTAATTATTTTGCAGTTAACATGCTCTTTTCTTCTCCACCTGTTTCTTTTCTGACCCCGCTGACCCAATGAGCATTTCGCTGACCAATGTTCATGCCTTAACTTTGAAATTTTGTATTGCATTCGTTTTTAATATTTCTCATGGGGATTTAATCATTTTTGACTTCTCCGTCTGAGTTAAATCTCTTTCTTGGCTCATTTCATCCGTAAAAGAAAACCTGCCTACTAATTCTGCACACCTTAATAAGGAGTTTTTTATTTCCAGCCTTCATGTACAATTACATATCACTTCTAAATGATTAAATACAAAAATAATAGTAGTTATTAAGATTGATGTGGTTTGGAATTGGTAAAATGTGCTTGGAAAAAAATATGATCAGAATATCAACGTGCCTAATAATTATGCACACACTGTAAGATGTGCTCCCTTTACACAGAGTGCGCATGATCGCAAAATCGAAAGTGAAAGTGAACAGCGAGCGCTCATTCAAATGCAATTTCAATACCTCTATTGACTAATATTGATAGTGGCTCCCTGATGTGCGAAAATAATATACAATATTAGAATGCTTGCGGGAGCGGGACACACACGTTGTGGGAGTGGGCGGGAATGGTCAGAAATTCAGCGGGAGCGGGCTTAAAAAAAACTGCTAAGTTTTTTTTCGGCTACCCCATCTCCACCCCTAATCATTAGTGTCATTTCGTTCAGTCTTTGACAGAACATATAGGACAATTTTTGAAATGGCCCCATAAACAGGGGTTAAAGCAAAAAAAAAAAATCTTTTGACTGAAAATTTTTCCTCATTCCACAGCCATACCTGTATCGAGTTCGATACTTTTTAGGCACCGACCGAATTGCCTCGATACCATCAAGTATCGAAAAACGTCTTGTCGTTTGGTACCAAATTTCGATACCTAAGGGGTTAATCTCATCAACGTCAGTGAGGCGCAGATCGATGAGTGTTTGACATCTGCGAGAGCGATGCGAAAACGTACGGAGCAGTCTGCTCGTGGTACTATAGCCTAATACACCGATAGGTCTGCACAGTCGGTCCGCATCACGCGCCACACTGTGATGTGGCTCACACGTGAGGATTTAGTGTGAATGCGTCCCAGCCCCCGTAGCTGTAAGGTTACATTTACACTGGTGCGTTTTTGTTTTAAAATGAAAACGATCCTCGTCAAACTGATGTTTCCACTGCGTTTCAAGCCGGCTTTCCACTATCTCCGACAAATGACAGACCAAAAGTTATTCATTTCCAATGGAGAGTAGCGCGGGAGCTGTGTAGAGTTCCAATCATATGCAGACCATTCATGCACACTGTAGCATCACGCTACATAAGACCAGGGTTTAAATTGGGCCGGGCTGTCTGGGGCTGAGCCCCAGCACTGAACATAAGACTCCAGGGCTTGACATTAACTCTTTATTAACGCCAGACAAGTAACATGATTAAAACATCAGAAACCAAAAATAACTATGTAAACACCAAAACGCAATATTATTCTGATTTTATTACATTTAGAGTAAGTGGCGAATAGTGGATATAGCTACTGTATATAATGTATCTATTGACAGTATAAGGTTGCGCTGCTGAGGCGAGGCTCCTTTTGCCCCACTGTATATATATATATATATATATAAAAGCTTGATACCATAGAGCCCCCCCCACACACACACATAACAAGTCCCAATTTAACCCCTGAATAAGACAATAAATAAGATTTATATTTCGCTTTTACTCAAAA